GTTACAAAATATATAGGGTGTCCAGTAAGTCCTTAGCCAAAGAAAAATTTGAATCTTTCCGCCCATATTTTGAGCATATGTGCTGATATTTTTATTACTGATAGAGGAGTGTTCATAGCTCATATTCATAAGAGAAGCATTAGTAAAAACTGTTTTGAAGTAGTGCAATTCACTTCAACAAAGAATTATAACGTTTTACGGTTTGTGAAAAAACAATATTGCATGAGTTTTCTCAATAAACTCATTAGAATTATGTGCAGAAACTCTCAACACACAAAGACTAATAAGATATGTATCTGTGTTAGAAATATGAAGACAAACGGCACTATTATAGACAACTAATCGGAAGAATTAGATGTGTCGTTTATTTTTGGATGGGAAATAAATATATATTTTTTTATAACCCATGAAACGTTATAGGTCTTTGTTGAAGTGAATTGCACTACTTCAAAAGACTATTTGCTAATGCTTCTCTTATGGCTATGAGCTATGAACACTCATCTATCAGCGGTAAAAATATCAGTCCATAAACTCAAAATATGAGCGGAAATATTTAAATTTTTTTTGACTAAGGACTTACTGGACACTCTATACAATATCTTAATCAATATATGTTTTTCAACTGCCTAACAAAGAATGAATCCTAGTCTACTTCTGAAATTTGATAGTTTTCATGAAGTTCACGTCCAACTAGGTGATATTTACATATGTTCCAACGTGCAACGATTTCCTTGTTTGTTTTCGATCAAACTAGAAAAATCTCTCCAACTTTTTCAACACATACATAACGATTTATGAGGCACAAATGTGACTCATTTGGAAGCATTTGATCTATCTCATGATTATCACCATGAGAAATTGTTTGAATTATAAATTTTGATTTAAAATCTCTATCGAGTCTTGGCAAAGTACTTTTTCACTAAACGAATATTAGAAATAATTTCTTTTGTGATTCATCGAACATTTCATTAAGAACAGTCCAAAATCATTGAATATGTGGTGAATCTTCATCATAATCACCAAGATAAATAGTATTTCGTTTCAATAGTAACACATCAATTTCACCTTTTCTACATGCAGCTTCTTCAAGTTCATTTGCCGTAAACAATGTCAAAAAGTCGTACGTTCACAGTATTCTGGAAAATTTCTTGGAATAACAGAAATATCTTGACCACCAGGCATGAGTTCATAAGTTTGTCCAGATGAACTAATAACATTAAATCGAAGTTCACTCATGATACTAGTACATAAATAATTAATTTCAATACCACTATCACTTGATTGATTTTGTTCAAGATTAATTTCCATTTCTTTAATAATTTCATAACTTTCTATATCAATTGCTTCAATATCTTTCATTATAGTTATTTCATCGCCTACTAAGTGTTTCCATATTAGCGTGGGTGTGGGTGTGGGTGTTGTCTTACGAGGGAACATTTTCAGGTGCTAAAAAGCTTTTCAACCGGGGATGTGATAACTAGATAGGGCATAGCTAGCAGTGATACACCCTAAGTTAGTTCGCGCCCAAGTTGAGATTTGGCTGAGATATCGACTTTTTACTAGAATTTGCCTATGGGACCCCATCTTTTCCATGAAATCAAAGTTTTGAATTTTGAGGTGAGACTTTGCCCATATCAAGGCCTCGGCTAGGGTAGTTCATCCACAAAGTTTCAGAATTTTCAAGCTAAGCATTCCCGAGATATAATGTTTTCAAAATATCCATGCATACAGCAATATCTAGGGATGCAACGGTGACGGTGGTCACCGGTGTGATCGGTCTACGGTTCACCGTTCACCGGTCTCACCGGTCCGCCGGTTCACCGTTCACCGGTTTCACCGGTCTACCGGTGCACCGTACCAACCGGTGATACCGGTGGACCGGTCACCGGCGTAGCGGTGCACCGTTCCACCGGTATACGAGCACCGTAAGCACTGCTCATAATATACTACAAATAAAGCTACTCAGTTGAAACTGAGTCCAATTAAAAGTGAAACTGACCATCTCTTAATCGAGAAGAGCACATATATTTGATATTCGTCTACTTTCTGTAATTTATCGGCATACTTCACAAAATTTAATAAAATTTCTTTGTATGCTGATCGCTCCTTCAATACGATGCGGGCTGTAGGCGTACGCCAGATAACATTAGGATGCTCATATAGCTGATACTCGTTAGCGCAAGGCTATCTGAGTATGAAAGATGCTTATACAAAAAACTTAGGTATGCCGCGTCAACAAACACTTTTAAGGTCAACAATAGCTGTTAAAATATCAGGAATGTACGGTGATCGCCGGTTTATAACATTCTATTGACTCATCAAGCTTAGGATAACCAGCAGTACGCTTTTAATGCCCGCCACCGGAAGTTTTCTTGACTCTATCGGTGCCATAACCGGCATGATTATCACATTCATCGATGAAGAAAATTTTCATCTGCTCTAGTGAGCAGATCTAAATTACGTGTTTTTACGCACTACCATTAATCCTAATCATGTTGGTTCGGAGAGCGGAGACCTTCAGTAGCAGATAGCTTCTAATATTTCACAGACTCACTGAAGACCAGAGGAACCGGTAATGGTAAACTAGTTATCACTATCGTATGATTTCGTGAATCTGTCAGTCGTCTAACTAACGTCGTAGACAGTCTCTGGAAAAAGTTTTCACATGATGTATCGCTGCGTACTCAAATATATAGTTTTGTACATCATGATGAAATTTTGAAATGCTGGTCAGAGAGCAGGAACCTAGAGCGATGACAGCTTTGAAGCATTTGACAAGCTTATTGATGCTCAGAGTAATCAGTAATGCCCTTGCAACCATCATCACCGTAGGTTCCTGTGACAATATCGGCCATAAAACTGGCATCGCTATCATACTGATTTAGGAAAAAAGCTTTCATATACGATAATGCATCGCTGTAAATCATATACTTTTAAGGGTTACCATGTAGTCCTAGAATGCCCGTTACTAGAGCGAAGACCCACGGTGATAGATGGTTTCTAGCATTTTCAGATTTATGAAGCCTCAGGGTAACCAGCAGTGTCCATTTACTCACCATCACCGTAGACATTGGTCACCCTATCGATTCTATTATTAGCTTTGTAGTCATGCACATCTTGGAAAAGATTTTTTATTATCGGTCTTGTCGTACACTCAGTTGTCTCTCTCTGTAAGTTCACCTATTCGGAATTTCGCCAACAGTGCACTCCCTCGTGGCGAATTTCCCTGCGACATTCGCCAATAGGTGAATCTCTGGTATGAAATTTATCAAAAAATATTCATTTTTGCCTTAGTATGTTTACCAATGGGCGACTGTCATGGAGAAATTTGCCAATTTGGCGAATTCCCAGTGTGAAATTCGCCAATAAACTTTTTTCGTCATAATGTATTGATCAATTCGCGAGTCGCTAGTGTGTATTTCGCCAAATTTAATCCGTAGAATTATGGCCCAGCTAAATTGATGATAGAATATTTAAGTATTATAGGATGTGTATGGATCGTGGGTATGAGTATAGGTTAAGCGCATATACAACCCTCAGACTTGCACCCGCATCCATATCCACATCAAGTCAGCTACAACTAGACCATTTTTCGTTAGTATATTCGCCAATTAGCGAATTTCAGCCAGTTGGCGAAAAGGAAGATTGGCAATCACATAATTCCTCCAATCGACGTTACAGTTTTGACTGTCAACATGAATGCTAATAATGGAAATTAGAGAGTGGAAACCTATGAGTATGGCAGATTCAAAGAATTTTATTGACTAGTTCAGGCTCAACATAACAGACAATATTCGTCTAGCAGCCACCACTGTAGGTCTTCATTTTTATACCGACTACCTCGTTAGCCTGATAATTATATTCCTGCATAAGTGTCTCGAATGCGACTACACTCTCAAATCAAGAATACGGTTTCAATCATAGATTTTAAGGCGAGCATGGCAGGTAAGAATATTAGGAGCTCCACTGATATGGTCGATTTTGATCATTTTTCAGGCACCTACATGCTTGCATCAATCATTGGTGCTGTTACATTAGAGATTGGCATAAGTTTTCATGGTTCCGCTGACCCTTTTCTTAATTGAATCACAGTCATCAAGTATGAAGGAAACGCTTTATGTGTTATAGTACCGTCTAGTAAGGAGTATAGCTTCGACTATCGCTATGAATGTTAGTGGGACAACGATGACGATAACCTTAGGTATGGTTACGGGTTCACTATGTGAACCATTGGTACGGTTATTGCTACAACTAAGAAAACCGTACCTACGATTTCAGAGTCAATTATGATAACCATAGGTACAATTATCAGTTTTAGAGGGCTTTCGTGAAATATAGTATTTTCTAACACACTAGCGAATTCCTATGAAAGTTGAAGAAAGATGAATATGATCAGAAAATCTGGATCTGAATTCAAATTTTAGAAATGGTTAATTTGACTTCGGACACTAAGGAAAGGCTTTTTAAGAAGATGCTGATATTTAATAAAGAGTAACGAAAGTGAATGGATTTCCAGAAGCTTGAATCTGATATCAATTTATCAAGGTTCTACGTTCTAATTATCAATAAAATGGTTCCTTGATGAATGCTATAGTTTTTTAAGTATTAGAGTCGAATGCGTCAAGTTGCATTTCCCTTCATCAACCTATCAAGGAAATAGTTACTTTCATAATAAACACTCACTTAATCTAAAAACTTCAGTTTGAAATATTCAAAGACTGACTTTGAGTTCAGACTCTCCAGCGCCTGTTTACTTTGCTAACCTTTATAAAAACCGTACTCTCTTAAAAGTGTTGTTTTTCGTGGCACTCATTTTGACCTAATAACTGTGCCTAGGAGGATCGTAGTTAGACCGGTAGCTGTAAGTGCGGTTATCGCAATTAGACTATCAGTCGTGCCTATGATACTCCTAGCTTGACAACTAACGGTAAAAACAGTTATTGTACTTGGATCGGTATCCGTAGGTATGCTTATCGTAGTTATACCGGTGACCATACGCATGGTTATATAATCTTGTTGATAACTATCAATGCGGCAATCATAATTGAAGTGGTAACCGTAGATGCATATATCGTAGCTGCACCAATAGATTTACTTACAATAATCGTAGTTTGGCGAGTAACCATAACTTAGATGATAGTAATTAGATTGGTAAGCATAGCTACGGCTGTTGTAGTTAGATTGATAACTCTAGTATCCGTGATGATAGTTAGATCCGTAACCGTATATAAAGTGATCTTAGATGTACCAGTAATCATTAGTACGATTAGCGCAATTGTATCGAAAAACCTAGGTACAATGATTGCAACTGTAGCAGCAACCATAGGTATAGTTGTCGGTTTTCACCAGTGAAATGACCTACACCGTTGTATTTCTAGTCAATAGCAATACTGTCCATATAGAACTACGAAAATTTGCGATGATAACCGGTTTCCGCTATTACTCAGACAACAGAAGACTGAATGCTTCCAGTAGTACTAATATGCCAGTCTCCATTATGGCCTTTTACAACCTTATCAGCTCGATTCTCTGTTTAACGCCAAAGTTCTGATCAATATTCCCCAAAATTAATTAGGACGAGGGATCACTTCTTCTAAGAAAATTAAGTACTCGAGTTACTGAGATGTACCGTATAGGAGAGACACCGAAATACAGAAAAGTGACCGGTGCACCGGTCCCACCGGCCCACCGTACCCCGGTGCACCGTCCACCGGTCTCACCGGTCCACCGGTTCACCGTTCACCGGTCTCACCGGTCCATCGGTTCACCGTTCACCGGTTTCACCGGTCCACCGGTTCACCGTACCGACCGGTGAACCGGTGAGCGGTGAATCGATCGACCGGTGAGACCGGTGAACGGTGACTCGTCACCGGTGCATCCCTACTCTATATATTCACTTGTTTCTATTCTATTTAGAAAAGTCTGCAAGGGTTCTACCAAAATATGGGAAAAAATTCTCAAATAAACCTGGTAAAACCTTGCAAAGATTCTGTTAGGAAAGTAGTACCATCCCTGAGGAAATCTAAACAAATGCGACAGAATGTAAATCGAAATTTTTTCGATTCCGAATCACTGAAATCCTAGCGAATTCTTGATTCAAAAATAGTGTAAAACTGGTTATGATCATGATAGGATCTTGCAACTGCGTGCCTACATGCTTTTTCAAGATTTAGACATTTTCTCCGAAAAAAAGCGCATTCGTGAAGGGTCTGAATTGGACTCGTTAAGGATGTGGCACGGAAATATAGAGGTTTTTCCATAGAGGATCGCATATAACCGAAAAACTCTGAGAATAATGCGAAACTTAGAAATATTGAAATGAGTGTCCTGTGTGTTGGACTAACTGGTCGGTGTTTGTT